TTCGCAAACATCTGGATTCCGACAGCTCTTGCAATCGGGATAACAAAATCAGTGGCTGAAACTGAACATCTCCGCCTGGACCCGGAGCTCGCCTAAAGAGGGTGGTGTCAGTTTGGAGCCTAGCACAACCGCATAATCGGAGTCAGGAAGTTCCCTTTCAGTCGATCACAGCTCTTTCGCGGCTTGGAACGTTGCTAGAGGCGTGATATCTATGAGCGTCGAGCAATTGATTTCCAGATCTGCAGTGTGAACCAGACCCGATTTTTCCAACTACGCGAAGAGCCTCACGAGAAAAACCGGTCAATAGCCTGAAATAAGATCGATTCGAATGTCGAGAGATTATCGACTCAGATTTCGTGATGAGGAACCTGAAAGCCAGCCCGTTCATTTATTTAAACGACGTGGACAGTTACGTCGCGAGCGTCCTAATAGGCTTACAACTTCGCTGACTTCATGTGAAGATTTTCCAACAATCGCCTTACCGGGATTTCCATGTCCACCGACGGTGCATATCGGCTGGAAACACAAGGTTCGGCCTCGGTCGGGATGACCCTGAACCTTTAATCGGGAGCGGCCCGTAAAGATTTAAAATCTTGTCGCTTCCTGCACACGAGCGTTCACCGAAGCAAGCTGAGATCGCGAACAAGTTGGGCAATCAATATTCAATACTTGGGCCCAGCGCTAGAGGTCGGAATAGAATGCGGACCGAGCACAATTACAACACTTGTCTCCTGTCAATCACCATTAGTAGACTTTGGGCATCAAGGCAGGTCGAGTCAGGCTTACTTCTTTCAGGTGTTACATCGTATGGCGGGTATTCCTATTGCTCAAAGCCCAGCGCACAACTTTCTCTAGCAATTTTTCGAGCCGCGTAACACATCAGCAAATCCTGGGTATGCTACAGAGTGCTATGGAGTACTCCATAGTGCCATAGTGCCCATAGTGCCCATAGTGAAGGGTTATTATTCTATAGTACTCTGTAGTAGCCCGGCCTACTCTAGAGTGCTCCATAGTAGCCCATAGTAGCCCTGTAGTACCTCATAGTAGTGAGGTCAACAATCAGAAAAATAATTTCACTTTCGCAACTCACTTCACTACTTGTAATGAACTTGTTCACTTTTATTTATTTCTATTACCTTTAATTAAGTGAATTACTGACTTTATTGACTTGAGTAACTAAGAGAGCATAATTAAATGACTTCTACAAGATTCGAACGCGCGACCTTCTGATGATGGGCAAAAGGAATGTATGTACAAAAGACCACTGCACTAAAGTAACCATATTGGTATTGAAATGTAGCACAATATACCCTTACTTCAGCCTTCCTCCATGTACTACCACTGTTCAACTGCTCCTCTCGGCCTCAATACCTTACTCTATATTGGTTTCAATAGTCCTGGAAATATTACTGAGAGATAAATAAACTGCTAATGCAACGAACATACCAAGAATGAGTCACCTGTCTAAAAATAGACCCAAAACAAAAGTTGTAGAGCTCGATGAGAGCTTCAAGACTTGTCTAAGGGCATTTTGCATGAAACAGCTTCGTTAGGCTGCAAAATGCAGAATACTTTCCCAAACGCGGCGGTTTTCATAACTTTGACCCCTTCAGAAAAGCCTCGAACAGAGGGGTCAAGCTTTGAATCAGCTGGGACATCATCACAATTGCTCAAAGATCATTTGGGAGTTCACGCCAACACTCACAATGAATGATACTTTTAGGGAGTTTCTACAAACTGCTACATAGTACCAACCGGTGACTACAGAGTGCTACATAGTACTATATAGTACCACAGGGTCACTATGGAGCACTATGTAGTACCAATGGTTACTATGGAGCACTATGGGCACTATAGCCACTACAGGCCACTACAGGTGCAATAGGATCCACTATGGACACTATGGTTCACTACGGGAAAAATCAGGATTTGCTGATGCAACTTGCGCTGTAGCCGAGGGAATAGCCGTGACTCTGATTGTGCCATTCTCGTGTTTTCCACAGTCAGTGTTTGAATTAAGTCCTGCATCTCATTTCGGGCAAGTCGAATATAAGCTTACAATCCAATAGTATTGATGGCGGCCTCGGACTGAGCCGGAGTTACCCAGGGTCAGCTAAGAATAAAAATAAACATGCCCAAAAGATATGCGAGTTGAGATAATTCGGGCGTACTATATTTGGTTTCAAAAAATCAAGGGTCGAAATCAGTAAATGACATCGCCACATGCTCAAACCGCCAGCGAAAAGATGGAAAGCAAAACTCTCGAGTCTCTGGCTCAGAACATGCAAGACCAAAAAGGCAAGTTGAGGCAGTGCAACGGTCGTGGCTATGAGGCCGGCGTCTTGACTCTTGACTTGTTCCTTCAAACTCGTTCATCTTTTCTTCAAGTCGCAGATCACCCCTACCCGAGGCACTGGGTTCATGTCACTTGCTGTCTTGACGACGGGATCGACATACTTACAACGAATCGCAGAATGGATTGCCTGACAAATAGACTCGGATTTGCTCGGGCGGCTGTGTAACTTTTACAAACGTTTTCGGCGGGAACAAGAGGACGAGACAAGAGAGAACAAGACGGACCATAAGTCCACCGGCTCATCCGAGACGCCCTCGGGAACCCGCACGCACCGCCAGAATCTGACTGGACGCGCTCGGGCGCCTTTCTGTCAGTCTAAGTTGGGCGGCCATCGACAGACCACACTGACGATATCCTCGGGACGGGTCGCGCAGTTTACGAGATACTCATGCCACCCTGTTTGACGGGTCGCGCTTGGGCCAGGGAAGGCAAAAAAAAACAAAGACAGCAAGATGCGGTGCAATGTAAAACAAAACGCGGATCCTCCGATCACTCTAACCATTTTACACCGCCGACGCCCGAGCCAATTATGCTGCTTCGCTCGACCGTTTTAGGGTGCACTGGCTGATGGCTGTGGGCGCCTGTTCCCCGGAGCCGCCGAAGCGCTGGATTTTAGGTGTGCGGACCTTGCGCGGAGACTTGACCGGACCTGCGTGAAGCTAACCGACATCCCCGGTCATAAATGGACGCGAATAGCCAATACTGCCGCCACAAGGGGTAGGTATAAAAAGACCCGAAATGCATTCACCGTTCCCTCACCTTTTTCTTCCTCCCCATCAGTGCCCTCCCGCACTTTTTTTTTTCTTCCCTTGTGTTTGTGATGTCTTTTGCTACTCTCGCCGCTACTGTCGCGTTCGCACTCCTCCCTGGAGCTCTCGCGGAGACGCACGCTATCTCTGTCGGGCCCAATGGTAACTTCACCTACGACCCGCCCTTCATCACCGCCGCCGCCGGTGACACGGTTGTGTTTACCTTGTAAGCTACGCACCCAGCCATGCACATATGTACTCACTTCGTCGTCAGCAACCCCAAGAACCACTCCGTGACCCAGTCCTCGTTCGACGCGCCGTGCGTCCCGCTCGTGGGTGGCGCATCGTCCGGCTTGTAAGCGCCAGGAATAGATCTGACACATTCGACGACTGACTGCATGCATTCAGCCAATTTGTCTCAAACGTCACCGCCCTCCTCCCAACCTGGACCTTCACGGTGGCGGACATCAGCACCCCTGCATGGTTCCACTGCGAGCAGGTCGGGCACTGTGGCAAGGGAATGGTGTTCGCGATCAACGCGCCTGCGGACCCGGACCCACACTCGTTCACCGCGTTCCAGAACCTTGCGATCCAGCTGAACGGCACCGACTCGACTTCCGCGCCCCCGCCTTCCGCGCCCCCGCCCACGTCGACCGACGACAGCTCGTACACGACGCCCCCCGCGCAATCGTGGGAGACCGCCACTGCAACCATCACGCACGACGGCTCGACGTGGACCTCGGTCTACACCAGCTATGACGGCACGCCTTGTACGTATTTTCTTTCTCAAGCGCAAGGCTGCGTTGACTGACGTTTTTCTTCAGCGCCGACTTTCGCCGCGCAGCCCATGGACCACCTCATCAAGGTTGGCGCTGATGGCCTTTCCTACACCCCGTCCAACATTAGCGCGGCTATCGGTGACACCGTCACCTTGTAAGTTCCAACAACCACATTAGTTATCGTCTGACGCTAATGTGGGATGCGATAGTGAATTCCACCCCAAAAACCACACCGTGACGCAATCTAGCTTCCTCCAGCCGTGCAAGCCGCTGGCCGAGACGTCCACCACCGGCCAGGTTGGGTTCAAGTCTGGGTTGTACGTTTCCCCTTCCTCGTCCCGATCGAGGATGAATGCTAATTATACCCCAGCCAATTCGTCGCCCCGAACGCGACCGACTTCCCCACCTTCCAGATCACCATCAACGACGTGCGTCCTTCTTCTCCCGCTCTTCCCCTAGATCTGTTCCAACTCACATTCCTCTTCCTTTTAGACCGCACCCATCTGGGGGTACTGCGGCCAGCAGGGCCCGCCCGTGCACTGCCAGCAGGGCATGGTCTTCTCTATCAACGCCGTTGAGTCCGGACCGAACAACTTCAACGCGTTCCAGACGCTCGCCAACCGCTCCGGCTCCTCCTCTTCCCTTGGGGGCTCCAACTCGTCTGGAAGCGGGAGCGGATCGGCGGATGCACCAGGGCAGAGCGGGAAGCCCGACGGCGCGCTCGGGAGTGCAAGGGTGAGCGTCGCGGCGGTGTTGGTGTTGGGCGCGATTGGCGCCGTGTCGACGCTGCTTTGAGCGATTTGAGCGCGCTGTGATGTGATCTTGAGTCCTTGACCTTGGGAATACCCGTGATGATAACGATGTTAACGTATTTCTTTCTACGCTACTTTCTCCCTACTTATACGTATCTTAACGACGGACTTTTAACTCCCCACTGGCGGTTTTGTACATCCACTGACATTTCAAGACCGCCAAAAATGATATATAATTTTGTGTACTTCGGGGTGAATTATTTAGTGACTTCGGTACATGTAAATGGAACAGTGGTGCGATGAAGGGTCGGTGTTCATAGTCTGCATGTAACGACAAATAAAAACCAAGAGGATCATAACCTCATGGCCTGATCCCGGATCGAACGAGAGATTTGCATTGAAACAACTTGCAATTTAAGGAGGATGTGCTACCACTGAACTATCAAAGTCCAGTAGCGACCCACCGGCTCCAAAATCTTTCTACATCAATTAAAGGGTGTCTGCATCCGCCCTCAGTACGACTCTATCAAAACGAACGAAAAAAAGTACCGTCAATCACCCCACTCCACTTTTGAACCACAAAAGTTTCCGCCGCCGACCAACAACTAGGGAGACCTCGGGCGCCTTTCTCCCAATCATCCCAGTGGTCTTTCAAAACGGTAACCGCAAAGCGCATGTCGCATACAGAAGTGTCCTCTGACCATCTGTATTCATATACACAGCCCACGACTGTGGTCAACGAATCACAAGAAGCTCGAGGTGGGGGCAATCTGTCGGTAATGCCTGTAATGTGTCCCATGGAACATCGTTATTCAGGCAGAGGTGGGTGAGGGCGAGCAGCGCCGGGAGATGGAGGCATATCCTCGTGTCATGTGGTTAATCTGGGTCGAAGGTGCAAAAGTGCGTGACCGAGACGAATGCTTGATGACCCAGATCGATTGATGAAGATTCTGCGAGCAACTCTTGAATAAACAGCGCCATCCGTAGATGGAAAAACGTAACATTGGACAGTGGGCCAATGGCCCCAAAGTCCACAATGCCCGTACAGAGTTTGAGGACGTCACGGTGTCGTCCAGAAGGAGGGACACCGTGATGAATTGCGCTAATGTGAAGGAGGACCGTGGTTTTGATTTCGTAGCATCGAGAATGGTCGGATGGTGACTAGAACGAATTATTCTGTACAAGAAGGGCTCGATCCTGCTCCAGGTTCAGAGAACGTGCGGAATAAAGTGGAAAATCCAGATACCAGATGAAACTGTGACGAGCAAGTTAGCAACTCGGAGAAGGGTCCTGAGGCAGGCGCATAAGTGAGGTAGCTTCGAAAATCCCCCCGCTCGACCACACTTGGAAAAAATGAAGGTGCGTTTACCATCCCCTCCTCGATGATCAAAGAAAGAAAGAGCCATACTTATAAGCGCCCATTGAGCAATTTCTTAGGTGTGACCGGCAAGACCCACGTTCATCGCGAGAGTATATACGAGAGTTATGGGACTCGGCTACGCCAATAGTGGGACTCGCTTAAGTTGACAGCCCGCATCAAAGGATCATCTCGGCAGAACGACGCCGATTCACAGTATTTTGGTGTAAATAAGGGCTGTAGGGCATGTTTCGGGTATAGAAAGCTGGGGTGAACACTGTTCCCCCAGACCCCCCTTCTTTGACCTGACGGCATATCTGAATAAATATGATTGAGTCATTTTGCGTGTTTTTCCGCTGATTTGGAGTTTAATTAATTCATCTAGCGCGGGGGAGACCCCCGCGGACCCCCTGGCGTTCGCCGCTGGGCCCACCGCATGGTGCTTTCTCCTGTTTTTAGGATGTTTAATTTGGCTTTTTTTCTGCTTATTCTCAGTGACAACGGCATGTGTGATGTATTGATCGCCGCAACTGACCGAATCCCATCTCCGTCTCCATCGGGTAACGAGTCCCATAAACGAGTGCTTAGCCGACGTTAACCGAACCGAGTCTAAGCGAGTCCCATTGACGCCGAGTCCCATGATTCGCGTCGTTACTCGTTCATCGCGGCGGCTTGGCCACACCTAATAATACATTTGGAGCCGTTTTCCTTTGCAAGCTACAACCGCTTCAACCCCTCAACTTGCCTGCGGTGATTCCTACGAGTCCGAGTCAGACCGCGGTGCTTGATTGGCGGTGACGGCACTGAAGCGAGCTGGAATCTGGATGCTTCCACGGCAGCTTCTTCGGCCCAATATGGAACCCTTATCTTGCCGTCAAGGTGAAAGCGCTGTACACGTTGCTCTTGCACCATGACTGCTCCGTCTTCCATCACAAACTCGAACCAGATTGCCGATGAAAAAACGACGCCCGATTCTCCCAGTCTTGCTCGTGGAGAAAACGTGAAGAGAGCTGGCGTTCCTCCCTTTAAATGGTGTTATCTTTGGGAGCCACCGATTGTGAGTTATCCTCAAGCTACAGTCATCGTACGACCTTGGATATGTTTTCTAGATAAATCCTCTCAATGCGAAATCCTACACACTCCCGATCTTCAACCTCAAAAACCCGTATTCGCGTTCGTTTCATCTGTCCTGGCGTAAGTCCCATTCCGCTGCGAGCGGTATTTTTAAAACTTTCGGCACAGTCGGATTCTTCGTCGCATTTCTGTCGTGGTTTGCATTTCCACCACTTATTCCGGACGCCATCAAAAGCGACTTGAAACTCACCCAAGTTGAAATCGCCAACTCCAACATTGTTGCTCTCGTTGCGACATTGGCTGTCAGATTCGTTTGCGGCCCTCTGGTTGATCGTTATGGCCCTAGGAAGGTCATGGCCGGTATGTCGCACCCCATTTATCGACGAGACTTGCTTCATTATTATAGGACTCCTTGTCCTTGGTGCGATTCCGTCCGGTCTAGCGGGCACTGCGCACAGCGCTCAAACCCTCTATGTTCTTCGGTTCTTCATTGGAATTTTGGGCGGAACATTTATCCCATGTCAAGCATGGACCTCCTGCTTCTTCGACAAGAATATAGTTGGGACCGCGAATGCTTTCGTCGCTGGTTGGGGAAACATGGGGTATGCTCTTCATTCTCTAAGATACGCGGTTTGATCTCTGCCCAGGGGAGGAGCCACATTTGCGATTATGGTCTCTACCTATTCCAGCTTGCGATCAGACGGATTATCCGAGCACTCTGCTTGGAGAGCTGCATTTGCTATCGTTCCGTACGCGACCGGCCATCTTTCTTACCAGTAATTTATTGAAAGCTATATTTCTAGAGTCCCGATTCTCCTCTCCGTAGCTGCGCTCACTCTCATCTTCGGGCAAGATCATCCCGCCGGAGCTTGGTCGCAGCGCCACACCTTGCCCGCAACTGCCGTCGCTATCGCTCATGGCCATCAGATCCACTCTGACCCCAATGAAAAGCTACGCAAGGAGAACAACAAAGCGGTAGAAGAGGGAAACGTGCAAGTTCACCCTGTCGACACTGACGAGGAATTCGGTAATGTCACCTCCACGGTCGATTTCGCCGTGAACGAATCCTTGACATTCAAGACTGCCATGGAGATTTTCTGGAGTCCACTGACTTGGCTGCCTGCTTTGGCGTATCTCACCACATTTGGACTTGTGGGTTTCATCGACCCACTCGAGTTGACGCGCTGATTCTTTGTAGGAATTGGTTCTTGACGCGCAAATGGAGAATGTCTTGTTCAACCTGTTCAACAAGAGAATTGGCGGGTTTGATCAGAACCGCGCTGGATACTATACCTCAATTTTGTGTGCCCTATCCATGAACCAGAGAAAGCAGCTGACCAGAAGCAAAATAGCGGGTTTCTCAATGTTGTTACGCGTCCGTTCGGCGGTTACTTGGGCGATGCCGTGTACAGGAAATATGGTACAAAAGGAAAGAAGTATTTGACGCTTTTTTGCGGACTTGTCATGGGTATTGGCTTCCTCGCGGGAGGTCTATATCTACAAAACAACCACGCAGCACCTCATCCCCCAGGACGTGGGTGATTCTTCGATCCACACTTGACTTGAGATTTAACAGCTTTACCCAGTGGCGACCGTAATGGGCGTGTTCGTAGTTGCAGCTATATTCTCGGAAATCGGCAACGGCGCGAACTTCAGCCTTGTGCCGCATTGCAATGCGTACAATAACGTGAGCTCTCCATCTGAGGGTTAATCGTCTGTGTTGATAAATTCGCAGGGTGTGATGACCGGCATTGTTGGGGGCTTCGGCAACCTTGGGGGGATATTCTTCGCTCTCGTTTTTCGGTTCCAAACTGCGACGGGCAAAGCCTTTTGGATAATTGGGGCCATATCCATTGCTATTAACATCTTCCTGATACCCATTCCAGTGCCCGAGTTCTAGTCGTTGAATCATACGGCGCCGAGTACGAGGGGAACACCTTTCCACTCCACGAGTTGAAAAATAGAATAATGTGTATGCGAAGAGCACCTGGGGAAATTGCTACTGAAGCTCTCTCATTTGTGGAAGAAATTTCGAGGGGAATTTATGACTGCACGGTTGCTGCACGGGGTGGAAGCGTTGTGTACGTTTGTGTACATCGTCTTACCGGGCCGGAGTGTGCCGACTCACTTTTGCTCTCAACGGTCACCTAGCAAATGGCATCTCTCGAGGTTCAGGTCTTCATTTTTGGCTTGTGAGAATTTCTCGGGTCAGACTCTCCCCTAACTCATACGAGTCCCAGCGACGATCGCCGGTGTGAAGTGGTGCTCCGCAAAGAAATTCCAGAACAAGTCCAAAGCAACTTCGCCCTCCTAGACGGATGGGCCCAGAAGGCAACAATGGCGATTGGTTATGATATGAAGCACACCCAAAGATGGGACTGCGAGATATGTGGTGCGCACTCTTCCTGGTTCACGCGATAGTAAGCGAAACGCGATGAATCATTAGGTGAACCCGCCCGAGAGACGTGGTTCGACCCGCGACCCTCATTGCGTCCGAGCGAGCCCCTAGTTGTCCTCGATGTGCGTTTTCGTGGCCTCCCTGTCTTTCTTGACGCCTTTTTCTACCAGGTACACCATCTTTGTGAGGCTGGTGGTGGTCCATGTCATTCGGAGGTGGAAGCCCGAGCCCGCGAGCTTGCACTGGAAACTGGCGGCATGGCTCCAGCACCGTCGTTGCATCTACCCAAGCCACCTGGACCCGCTATTCCCCTCGCAAGCAGCTGCGCCAAATGTCAGCGGGACGAAACGGGAGCGCCCGGATCCCCCATCAGTCGCTGTAGCCGGTGCAAACTGATCAGGTAACAAATAAATTAAATGCGAAATACAAAGACTCACATGGAACAATTTATCAGATATTGCAGGTGCGTCTCGAAGGCTACGTCCGCCGGCGTTTTTCGCTAAAGAATCATCCAAGCGTGCAATGTCAAACAGAGGATTGGGCACGGCATGGAAAGGTGTGTTATATTGAGGCTCCGAGCGTGAAACAATCATTCAGTCTTTTTCTCGTCATCCAGATATG